GTACGGTGGGGTGAAATAGTGAAATTTGCTGTCACAGCACAGACAATGAGAGACAGAGGTTATTATATTGTTATGTCTTATCTTCCAATACACAGAGGTCACTGACCACCTACTCTGCTTAACTTTGCTATTATTTTCCCCAATCATCCCTGGCAGATTCTTACTTGAAATTGATGTTGGCACAAACCAGTCCATCGTTCAGAAGAAAAAGCCGGCGTTCCTTGGACTTCAATAGCTGGCCTCGTTCTCCATACACCATCTCTGTAAACGTCTCACAGAGGAGGAGCTGGTGCTGCCCAGAGCTCAAACTCTACAGGTTAATAGGAAACAAGATAAAATACTAAATACATCTTACGCCACATAGCAGAGATGAACAGCTATGGCATCCCATGTTCTAAAACTACATTTCCCATAATGCTCTAAACTGACTGAGCGACATGGAAAATACACAGGGTTTTTTTGGGGGGGTTTTTTTTTTTTACAAATGTGCATCAGTGAATTTTAAAATTCCCGGCCATAAAAGCAGTTTGTAAAAAAAATGTCCCCAATCAGCTATGTGTTCAGTTCGGCTGTTTTATGGTTGCTTTTGGCTGACTTTTATTTGAAATCTACTTTAAATTCACCTTGAATTCCCTGCTGATTCACACTTTAATGAATAACTCTGATAGTTTAAATCTAGGATTCCAAGGTTAGATATCACTTTCTGGATAAGGAAAAAAAGCTAAATTATTGTGCTGCCACCTACTGGCTATTGGCAGGCAGAGCATGTCGTTTTAATGCATGCAGATGTTCACAGAACTTGTTAATCAAGCATTTTTTTGAGTTGCCCTGATGGAAACGAATCCTCTCATTGTGCTGGTAACGCAATATCCTTTTATATCTCTGAGAAAGTTTGGTCAATTGTGTTCCCCCCGTTTGTCATTCCTGTTGTTTTTGTTTGTTTATATTATATTTTGTTGTAATTATTATTGAAAAAAGAATGTTTGGAAAAGCATAATCTTGAATATATTGATCTTTAAATAAATATAACCAACTCCTAAAGCAGGGGTACCCAAAAGGTAGATCCCCAAATGTTGTAGAACTACAACTCCCATGATACTTTGCATGCATTTAGAATGACAATGCATAATGGAAGCTGCACTTTTAAAACCTCTGGGAATCAGCCTTTTTGGCACCCCTGCCCTAGGAGTTAGTCCTAGAGAGATTGTAATCAAGTGGCTTAACTTGTTTTCCATGTTTTTCCCATATAGTCACACCTATTGGTAGCTAAATACTACAACAGTGGCATGTACTTAGTCACTGAGCTGCATCCTACATCCCACCTCTGAAGGGTGTGAATGCAAGGGAAGGCTCACTTGGTCAAGCAGCAAGGGAATCGATGGCTGCAAATCTTTCCTCATTGCCTCTTAACCCCTGAAGGACACAACTTCTGAAATAAAAGGGAATAATGACGGCATATTTCCGTCATGTGTCCTTAAGGGGTTAAGGACAGAAAGGTGCAAGATTAACGATTTAGGTTTACATGTTCTGTCAGACCCTCTGTCTGCCATCAAATCCTATTAATAGTGACTTGGGAATTTAGCAGAGGAATGAGGGGCAAGTATCAGACTGAACCCGCTGGCAAATAACAGTGCAGGTCCTGCTGCTTTAGAGAAGTCTGGTCACTGATTGCACCTTCGCATTATAAAACGAGAAGATCTGCTACTGTATCAGCCGGCCAGCAGCTTGTTCTGGATCCATTGTAAGTTTAGACAATGGTCTTCGAGAAGCATTCGGTGAACTGGAGTGATAGGGTGGATAACTACCCAGGCAGACGGACCGGGCATGACGCCATGGAACTGCAAGACTTGGTTTAACAAGATATGGCAAACAAAATGGCTGCCACATCTCACCTTGTGAAGAGGGTTGCGGTCGCTGATGCTCTTACACAGTTGCTGTATCTCAGCCATTTGGTCGGCCAGACGCTTTTGCTCATTTAGTTTCTCTGCCAGCGTTTCCAGTTCGGTCAGCGCCAGCTGCAGTGATAGGCGGTCAGGGTGCCCACGCGGCGTGTTCTTCAGCATATCCTGAAAATCCAGAGACGGAGTGTTACTGGCAAAGGAGGGAGGTTAAGGAAGACGTAAAACAGCGCAGTTCAATGAGACTTTACCTGTAGCAGCAATATAAACTGTGGGAATCGCTGGATGGGTTTCACCATTAAACCATACAGAGTGACCCTATCCGGGCTGGCAGCTTGTTTCTTCTGCAAAGGAAGCAGACTGATATAGAATGGCAAACATAGACCGATAGGGCAACGGATCTTTGTGCTGCCCTCTACAGGCAGTACTTATTCTTCATCCATGTTTCAACATATCTGGTTTAAAAAAAAAAAAAAAATCCCCAAAATGTGTGCTCGCTTACAGTTAATTTTGTGAAATTGTAGGCATTGGCTGTGAATGTCTCATTTCGGCATTACCAAGTAGCTGGCTAAAAGATAGCAATGGGCTTATTTGTTATTGGCGGTGGGCTGCAGGCTGCCAGGAGGTGGGCATCTTTCCTAAATAGTCAGTAAAACCTTTATCAGTGACGCTGGACCCAGAGCCTGCAGACTCCAAGTATCCTATCTAATCAGTTGAAATTGTTATGGTGCCTACGTGCCCTTTTAAGTGGCTATGCCTGCTATGTAACATGACAGAATTGAGAACGGAAAAGAAAATTATACATTTTAGGCTATAACACAGTTTTTTGTTTTATTAATTCTAAGTTTTAAAAAAAAATAACACTGAATAAATATCATGCAATAAACAAGAGATTAAACCCTTTATGAGTTTACTTGCCAATCCCGAAATTATAGAGAATTGTTAAGAGATGCAAATTTATATATACAGAAAAATCCAAACTGGTATTATTATAAATTGGCCACTTTGAACTAAAAATGTAATTTCCGTGCTAAATCACCATTATTCCCAAAGTAATGTATAATGTGTATTGTGTACAGAACTAAACCATGACTATCATGTTTTAGATGGGTGAGCAATAAGCAATACACAAATGATTTATTTGGAGTACGGTTTTCCAACATACTAGAACACAGTATGTGACAACAATCATAATTACACAACTTAAGCCTATCCACGTCACAAATGCAACAAAATCTCTCTCCATCCCATCGCTGGCACCAAGTTAAGATTTGCCGGCGTCTTGGGACAAATGGGATTACTGGTCAAGAGACAAACATGAAAATTAAAATAGAATGGATAAAAAAAAAAAAACCCCTCCAATTAACTCACCTTTAGAAATTCCAGAAACGCTGGCTTTGTAAGGCATGCCTTCTTGATTAGCGTCATGGCGTTGGTGAAGTTATTAACATATTCACTATAAACGTCAAGCACCATGGACTTCGAAAACTGTGATAAATACCAAAAAGAGTTGAACAGGAATACATTGTGAAAAAAAAACATACATTGACACGGTCTGAAATGTCCATTTTCAGTTTTTAAAAAGCGGTTAAAAGTAGAGCGAATTTGGGGCAGGGTTCTAAAAGTGGAGCAGTCATCATGGAAACCAATCTTGACAAGTTTTTGCCAAACTCTTTAACCTTTTTGTTTACTTGTGGAGATTTGAGATTTTAAGAAGTCTGAATATAAATGTTTTTGTTTTTTTTAAAAGGATTCCAGCTAATGGATTCTCCCCATTTTATGTTATTTGGAGCCATGGAAACCAGGGCAATCTTCCTTGTGATGCTCCACTTTTAGAACTCTGATTGACAACTGTAACAAATTTTTCTTCCATTGACACTTGTGAATATCACTCCAAATATACCGTTAATAAAATAACTGATATAGCAGACAAGATTATTAATCGTGAAGTCAGCGCCACAGGCCATCTCCTATAGCAGGGTGTGTATTTTAGACACAGCTCCAGCAAAGACACTGACAATAATATATGACAGAACTATTTCTATCACTCATGATAATGGGCAATTCTGGGGCAAAGACCTAAAATGGGAATAATTAGCAGAGACCTTACATTGGTTTCCATAGTAACTACTCCACTGTTAATAATTGGGAACTTGAAAATTCTAAAATATTCTTGAAACCAGCTTTCCTGTGTATTGAGCCACTTTTGGCTAACATGACATTTTTTACACAGAATGTCAGAATAAAAGTGCAATAAAATGATGGAAGACACATCACTCATCTATAAAATTTCTGTTCACCTAAACCGATGCTATGTTTTATTATATTCCATTGTAGAGTCCTGCAAAATATGTCTGCATTATACACATCATGATAATAATCTTCACAAGAATAGTGATTAAATACTAAATGAGGGACGTATTTTATACCGTGACATAGCTGTGGCCTTGAGGTATTTTTTCGGGAATATGTCGATGCATTTACAGGGTGCATCAAAATTCAGATTAGGGTTTGAGAAGTCAATAACTTTTATTAATGAACCAATTTCAATGATATTACATAGAATGAATGCTTAATCTATGGAGATTTGTTTGACTAGGTATGTAAGGTGACATCTTTTAAATAAGCTCTATTTGCCACTTTGTTTGCATTGTTCATAACATGAACATGTTTGCGCTCGAATTGCTACACAAATATTCATTTTGAGCTACTTAAATATATGCAGTTTGTTCACTTACACCCGCTCCTTCAGACATCACCACCGGAAGTAATCGGGAGCGGAGAGTTCGGGAGAACGTGGCAGCCAATTAATCTGGGAATTTCATTAAATTATCCACTCACTCAGTTATATCAGGAGGTCCATTGTGGACCTGGCTGTATGGGCAGTAGCCATCTTGTTGAAACCACATTTCAGGACAATTTTCTCTTTGCATCAAAATAATGGGCCTGCCATTTTGAAAATAAAATGCCACTATTTTAACTAGTTGCTCCTTAATGAACTTGCCAAAGTACCAGAGTTTTACTTTATGCAATAATACCTTTTTAATTGGACTAACATAATATTTCAAAGATAAGCTTTCAAGAGTTTTCCTCTCTTCCTCAGGTGTGTGTGTGTGTGTGTATATATATATATATACACACATATACACATATACATACATACACACACACACACACACACACACACACAGAGACAGTCACACACACAGAGACAGTCACACACACAGAGACAGTCACACACAAACACAGAGACAGTCACACACACACACACACAGAGAGTCACACACACACACAGAGAGAGAGTCACACACACACAGAGACAGTCACACACAC